ATTTAAGTTATTTATTGACCACTCCTTTATCTATGTCATTGATGTAAATCAAAAAGAGCAAAGGTCTTAAGACTAAGCCCTGAGATACCCCACTTGTAACATTAATCCAGTTTGACTGAACTCCATTTATAACAACCCCCCGCTTTCTTCCATCCGGTCTCTCCTCTATCCGATTAGCTAACTTATCCTCCACACCTTTAGATATAATTATTTTTAAAATTCTTTTATGTGGCACCTTGTCAAATGCTTTCAGATACATCACATCCACACCTGTACCCTCATCTACATAAGCAGTAACCTCTTAAACGAATATTAGAAGATTAGTAAGGCAAGATTCTCCCTTAGTGAAACCATGTTGACTATCCAATAAAATTCTAAACTTTGTTAAATGACTTTGCAAAGCATCTTATATCAGACTTTCCAAAACTTTTACCACAACTGATGTAGGATTAATAGGCCTATAATTACAGGGACAATTTTTATTACTTCCAAGGACTTACAAAAATAATGGCAAGTGGCTCACATTTGCAATCCTTAACCTCCTTTAAAATCCTTGGCGAAATATTTTCTAACCCAGGGGTTTTATCGCTCTTTAAACTTCCCAATTTTGTCCTAACAAGTTCAGAATTAATGCAGCCATCTTGTTCGAACCTTGTTTCCATCTATCAACTATTCAAGATTAAGAATACTGCTTAAATATACATTAGTAAAAATGGAAGAAAAACAGAATTTAATAACATAGCCATATCATAATCATCAGATACGAGCCTTCCTTTATCATCTCTCAAGGGTCCTACCCCCATCCTAACATTTTGTTTACCTTTAATGTATTTAAAGAAATTCTTACTATTTATTTTTACACGTTCATCTTGATCAAAATTTATCTTTAAAATTTTTCCACATTTGATCAGTGTCTCCAAACAACTCAGCTGCCCAATTCATGACACATAATTCTTGTCACATCCCTTCTAAATTGGCTTTTTTTAAAGTTTATAACCAAAATATTACTATTACTGATCTCCATATGTTCTTTTGTATTGTGTAAATATTCTAATTTGTTTTATTTATATATTTAATTAATATTTGAAAATGAAAAGTTCTGTTTGATTTCAATCTTAGTTTGTGATTTTTTTAAAAGTTATAAATTAAAAGATGATTTTGCCTTTTAAATGATGGGACAACGTATTACATTCTCATTTGAAGGATTGGATAAATTAAAAGATTGTTTTACAAGATTGGATTTGTATGTTATTGTATATAGTTCAATGTTAATTGTTGTATTATCCATGTTACATTCAAACAATTACAAGGACAGAGAAAGTTATTACACTCCTTGATTGTGGCATGAGTGTAAAATTAATTGGTTTTCAACTTAAATTTAATTGTCAGCTTGAGGACAAGTCAAAAACAAGTGTGTGTGTATGGGGGGATGTGGTATGGAGACATATCATAAATTTTGTACCTTCTTGTTTTAATGTAGAATTTTTCATTTATTTTTAATCTATAACATATGGTTCAGGAAGCCATTAAATTTACTTTGTTCTAGCTGCCTTTTTCATTCTCTAGAGATAATACCTGTCTTGCTCATGGAAGGTATTTCTAATTTTACACATTCTGCAAAAATGTAGATGCAACAGTGTTCTTCAATGGTAAGCCAGATTATGGCCTCCTCTACGTTTAATGAGAATGACCAATCATACGGGGTAGTGATAATTAGTGTGGTTAAAACTAATGTTTCCCATTAGGCATAAAACATTATGCTCAAACAATACTACACAGGATCTCAAATAAATTAATTGTTCAGGAAGTTAAGGAAGAGAGCCATTTGATGAGTTCATGAGACTAGTGAAAGATGACCAGGGTCCCATGTAAGTATCCACACTGTATTTTTGTCTTTGTTATTCAATAAAGGATGAGTTCATTTTGTATCATACATCCAGTCCAGTTTACTTATTTCATAGCTTAAACTCAGGTAAATTTTGTGCTTTATCCTGCCAATCCTCCATCTAAAAAACTGTATCTACCTAATAATCAGTTTAACTTGAGAATACCTTGAATACTGTAGGAATATTTTATTTTATTAATGCTTGTTTGAATTATGAATGTGTTCTACTTCACCATAGGTTTATATTGCTGTTTTAAGGTAGTCTTATCTTTGATGTAAATATTAACTGTTTAAATAATATTATTAACTGTTTTTAAAGGTTACAAGCAAATACAAAATCGTTATGAGACTGAGGGGGAATATAATATGAAGATCAGGAATAATGATATTTTGTTAGAAATTTAAAAAAGCAAATTTTGAAGGGATACAAAAATAATTATCTGTTGTGAATTGGGCAGCTGAATTATTTGGAGACACTGATCAAATGTGGAAAAATTTTAAAGATAAATTTTGATCAAGACGAACATGTAAAAATAAATAGTAAGAATTTCTTTAAATACAGTAAAGGTAAACAAAATGTTAGGATGGGGGTAGGATCCTTGAGAGATGATAAAGGAAGGCTCGTATCTGATGATTAGGATATGGCTAGGTTATTAAATTCTGCTTTTTCTTCCATTTTTACTAATGCATATTTAAGCAGTATTCTTAATTTTGAAGAGTTGACAGATGAAAACAAGGTAGGACAATATAATTACATCAATTTTGAGCTTCTTAAGAAAAAATTGGGAAATCTAAAGAATGATAAAGCTCCTGGGCCTGATAATATTTACTCAAGGGTTTTAAAAGAAGTTAAGGATCATATATATGAGCCACTTGGGACTATTTTTTTTAAGTCCTTAAACAGTATACAGGTACCAAAAGATTGGAAGGTAGGTAATGTTACTCCTGATTTTATAGAAGGTGATAAAAATTGTCCCAGTAATTTGAGGCCTTTTAGCAAGCACGCATTAAGGTAGTCTAAGGCCTTGGCTCACTTACTTTTTCGAGGCCCCTTGAATAGGGTACAAGCAGATTTGAAGTTAATTATAATTAATACATATTAAGTTAATAACAGAATATGAGCTAATTAATCGAGGTAAATTAGAATATGATGTATCTAACTTTTAAGGATGATATATTAAAATTCAATGATTATAATAATAACAACATGGCAAGTAAGAATGAATTAGGTACATAAAAAAACAATATAGTTATTGTACAACATTATGGAAGAATGCCAAAACATTGCCCTAAAATTGTTTCCTCCTTGCTTTGGCGGAAGCAAAATCTCTAATTACATCTTCATGATCTATTTGCCTAAGCAATGTCCTTTCTATCGTGAGCAATGGCAGGGCATTTAAGCATTCATTTAACATCGAATCATGCACATCATTTCTTACTCTAGCCATTTTAGAAAATGCTCTCTCTGCACTGCAATTTGTGACGGGTAGACACAAGTATATTCTTAATGTCACGTCAACATTAGGGAAAACAAATCTGGATTTGTTTTTTCTGATTGCTTTGATGCATTGTTGGACAGATGTTCCTGTGAATCACCTTCTTCCTCCACGAATCCCCCCCCCCATGACACAGCGGTATGTCTGCGGACTTACAATGCTTTGATACACGTGGTGGGCAGAGCACAGATAGCCCATTGTGTAGCTTTGTGGTTAATTCCAAACAATCCACGTATCACAATATTATAGCTAACTGATCTGAGTGTGAGACAGCTGGTGAGGAATCTACAATAATTGAAAAGTATTTAGCATAAGGAATTTCATCAGCAATTGTCTTATAACTTTAATTAGTCATTAAAAGAATAAATTATTCATAAACTCTAGAGGATAAATATGAGGTAATTCCCTTGCCTTTATTTGCAAACGTTTCAAGGTGCTTAGCCAAGAATGGATCAAATTTGTAAAATTGTAAAGCAGCTAAAAAGTTGCCATTGTTGAAATCTTCAATCTCCTCTCGATCCCCTCTAAGTGCTAATCCTCCTCCACACAAGAATTTTAGACATTCAATAACTCAACACAATATCTCCCACCAATATCATATTTCGTACTTTAAATCATTGTTTAACTTTGAATCCACTATTAGTTTGTCCTATCCATCAGTGCACAGAATAAATGTGGGCTTTACTTTTTTCATGGTTTTGTATAGCTCTAGAGCCATGTGACCAGTCGCAGAATCCTTTTATAAAAGAGTCATTAGAATCTTTAAAAAGAATGGAAAAAGCAAAACATTTTTCCAGAAAAAGGAGAATAGATCAACCAATCTCTTTTTTTTGTTTCATCATTTTTAAATTTAATCTTAAAAAAAGTTCAGTGAACAGCATCTCTGAACATCTATTGAATACATACCTCTCTTTGAGGCTGAACTATCTTGCTCTGCTATATTTTGTTCTGGAATCATATTTTTTGCGAGTCCAAAATTCTATTATTCATTTCCTGTCTGCTGGCCATAATGCTGGATCAGATGAGAGATCGTCTTCCTCGCCAGAATTAGTAATGAGATTTTCAATTTGACATGCTCTTTCCTTTTGTGAATTGTAAGGGGATGAAGCTGCACTTGTGCCAGAATTTTTAGTTGCTACAGTGGGTTGAGAATCACTCAGGGTAGAAGCTTTGTCCTTGAAAGGGTTAAATGGGTTGTTCTGCTCCTCTGTTTCCTTACAAACTGAGAAAAACTTGGATAGCTTGAAAAATGGTAGCATTCTTTGTGAAATGAGTTGCAATTAAACTTACATTTAAACAAAAAAGAATAAAAAGTTGCATTACTGGAAAGAATATTAAAAGAAAAAAACAGCAAGTTGAGAAACTGATGGTTTTTTCCAAAGTTATTTTACTTTACATTTTGCACTAACCAAGTATTAGATGTATCTATGCTGATTATACTGATTTTGGGATTTCTAGTACATTTGTACAATAGATCTTCTGATCAAATTATCAATTATAGCATTGTGTATATAAAGTGAACTAAAATACTGCTCAGTTGGTAAAAAAGACTTCAAACTTTTGTTTTTGTTACATGATTATTGGATGTCATTAGTAAAATAATTAACTCTTCTCACAAACAAAGGAAAACTGTAGCCTTTCCAGGGCTCTTTAACCTCTTACAAAACATATACAATAAATAATCAAAATAGTATTATGATATTTCTTATTGTGTTGCTACACTCTTCAAGGCTTGTCAGCATTACTAGTCGTAAATACTAGCCTTCCAACACCAACAGTTAACAATCCTGCAAAGAGAAAAATATGAAAAAAGGAGAAATGGAACTTTTGTTTTACATATTGTAAGATCCTGATTCATTCATCAAACAATTAAATAGAAAACAAAGGAAGCCATAAATACATCAGTTTCAAGTTTCAGTCATGTTTAAACACTTATTAACAAACTAAGAAAATCCCAAACAAAATTTACAAATATTAGTTTTTACTACAGTCCTCACCTGAATCTCAATTTCAAAGCCATATCAAACTAGTAAATTACACTTATGAATTTTTACCATGTTATGATTTCATAAAGAAGAGTTTGTTTGTTTGTTTGTTTTTGCTAGTGTAGCTTTGCGCGAAATTGGGCTATCTGCGCTAGCCGTCCATAATTTAGCAGTGTAAGGCTAGAGGGAA